GCCGACTGTTCCATTGTCCCTTTCAAACTTAAGCAGCATAAGTGACGGGATTATAACAGCCTTGGCACTATTCAGGGTTGGGCGACCCAGAATCATGTTGTAGGCAGAGAGTTCCTCTACAACTAGGAATCGGACTACCATGTGTCGTCCTTCCCCTTTTTCGCCCAGGCGGACGGGTAGATCAACTCGTCCCAGTGGGTGGACGACTCCTCCTCCAAACCCTATTAAAGGGTGGGAGGCCGGATGTATGCAGTCCGTCTGATATTTCAGTTTTGACAGACATTTGCTGCTGATGAGATCTGAAGAGCTCCCAGTATCTATGAGGATTCGACCAACTCTCTGGTTGGCCACTTTACATTCAATAACGAGAGGGTCGTCATGCGGCCCCCTTATTCCTCCTAGATCCTCTTCAGTGATGACAATCTCAGGAAATGTATATTTGGACGGTCGTTCTTGGTGAACGGAATTTACATCTAACCGCCTTATATTATCTTTGTTGCCCCTAATAGTGGGGCCGCCTCCTGAGAAGCCGCCTGCAATGGTGTAGACGACTGCATCATCTGTATCGGAACTGTCGGCCTGTTGATTCTTTTTGGCCGACTGCTTTTTTGAGAAAGTATTCCCCGTAGATTTCTTGACATAAGTGTCAAGATCACCTTGATCAGCCAAGCGGTCTAGGTACCGCATGAGACTAATGCAGTCGTTGGTGTGATGACCAATGTCATCATGATAAGCACAGATTTTGTCTTGGTTCCGGTTGCTCGCAGAACCCTTCATGGGGAGCGGTTTCTCAATTGAGAGCCGTCCCTTTATTTCTTTTAGGATAAACTGGTTATCCTTGTTAAACACATACTTTGGGGAGTATGGTTTGAATTCCTTTTTCTTCTTGGCCGGCTGTTTAGAGGAATCAGCCGCCCAGACCCCTTTTCTTTTTTCATCTTTGTTGGACGACTGTTTCTGTCGTCCTTCTCTATTGTCGAACCTCTTCCCGTCCGACTGTTTCATTGTACACAGATCAGTCGCCTGTATATAGGCTTCTGCTTCAATCAAGGCCTCTTGAAGAGTCGCCACCCTTTTTCGAACTAAATCAAATTTGAAGGTAGACCCGTCTTTGAGACCTCTAAAAAAGTCAGTATAAGCTACCTCATCCGGTAACCCTTGAATCTGTATTCTCATCAGGTTGAACCGCCTGATGTAGGAACGAAGCCCCTCCTTTTCACCCTGCTGAATTGTTCCCAAATCAAGGGTCGTTTTCTTCGCAGGGATGTTCATTGCAAAGTTGGAGGCAAATAAGTAAGCAAGCGTCCTGAAACTGTTTACACAACCAGTCGGCAGGTTGCCGAACCATTGCTGTGCAATTCCCTTGAGAGTTGCTGGGAAACACTTGCACCAAGTGGGATCATCCAACCCTTGAAGGTACATCAGGTTGGTGAATGCCATCAGATGGTCTTCCGGGTTAGTAGTGCCATCATAGGCGCCTACTAAAACATTTTTTACTTTGGCCGGCTGAGCGGCTTCAGTAATTTCCTTGGAGAAGGCCGACGGCTGTTCACCAAGTCTAAGCAGCCGTAGCTGCCAGTCCATAGGTTGGACGTTTTTTGCTGCAGGTCCACCAAATGGAGGTGGCTGCATAAAATATTGTTGTTGCGGCACAAATGGCAAATTTGGTACCGCCTGCGCACTATGAAAGCCAGACTGACGGGAGGTGCCGCCTGACTGACTCTCATGGTACGACTGAGTTGGCCTCATCGAGGCATTTCGCAAACTGTCCTGAAAATTTGAAGTAGAAGCCGACTCTGATAATCGGTCACTCTTCTTCTGCTCTAGCAGGTGCCGAGCATCTGTGAACGTTTGCCTTGACCCGTCCGCCTGAATATGACGAACCGGTTTCCTATTTCCCGTAGGATAACGGAGTTTTGTGAAATCAAGAGCAGACGGCTCCCGCTTCTTAGATTTAGGATGGGGAGTCGCCTCTCGCCCTTGAACTGGCTTCCTCTTCAGTGAAGTGGAAGGTTTTTTGGCCGCCTGCTCTTTGACTGAAGCAGGCGGTTTTTTATTGATCAACTCTTGGATCTCTCCCTTGAATCCCCTCATGAAGGTCATGAGTTCGTTCCTTGTGATCGGAGCAGACCCATCAGTCGGCTGTTGCCGAGCAAGCGGTGCGCCTGCTGGCTCGCTTCCTGTTTGAAGATACTCCCGTTCCCTTATTTCAGTATGACGGGTACGGCGGGCCCTTAGGGTCCCGTCTGGAGCTGTATGAGTTTCAACTTCAAATTCACTTTCGGTATCATGGTCCGACTGAACTTGAGGGTCGTCTAGGGGACGCCTCTCTTCTGGGGTCGGTACAGACTTGGATGCCATCTCTGAAGTACTCTCCCCACAGACGGCGCCAAATGTTTCGGGGTTTTCTGATGTCCTGCGGGAGAGTTACAATTCCGAGACTGGAACCGGACGCCTGTACCTGCAAAATAACGGAGACTCCTGAGAGCTCCGCCTCCAACGGTCAAGTTAGTACCTGATTAAGGAGTAATTAATACAGAAATTAAAGTAATAAGGTCTCTCTAGGTGAGAGTATTTAATGTAGGTAATCTGCTTTGCTAGCGAGATCAGCCGGTTATTAGTGTGTTCCGTCAATTATTCGGTCCCCTGATTAATGAGGATTAATCGAGTATTTATAGCCTTGGGAAGCGTGCAACTCTCTAGGTTTAAGGTAAACCTAGGGCCGAACGGGCTTCTAGACTGAAATGGGCCTTGATGGCCGGTTGTCCCATTTGGCATGGGTGGACACGTGGCGTGTCTTAAGTGGTCCGTGGAGGACGCGTGGCGGAACCTGGTTGGTCCACTTGTCAAACGGCGCTTGGTGGATAAAAATCCCCTAATCAAGTCGGCTAAAGTATTGTGATATTTTCCTCTTATCCCTAGATTAAAAAGACTTTATATGTCATCTAAAACAGCAAAGGATATGAGGTGGCAATTTGGTCGAAAGGACGATAAGGTTTTGAGGCACCCAGCAGATGGTGAAGCTTGGAAACATTTTGATGAAAGATATCAAGAATTAGCTGCTGATCCTCGTAGTGTTAGGTTAGGTCTAGCAAGTGATGGTTTCAATCCATATCGTCTTATGAATACTAATTATAGTACTTGGCCCGTGGTTTTAATTTCTTATAATTTACCACCATGGCTTTGTATGAAGCCATCATCATTTATTTTGTCCTTGATTGTTCCCGGTAAATAAAGTCCAGGCATTGATATTGATGTGTATTTGTAACCATTAATCCATGAGTTAAAGTTGTTGTGGAATGGTGTTGATGTCGTTGATGCATATAGTGGGGAAAGCTTTAAAATGCGAGCAGCCTTACGCTCCACTATAAATGACTTTATTGCTTACGCTATGTTGTCTGTTTGGAGTACCAGAGGCTATAAAGCTTGTCCTTCATGTGCCCATTCCACTAACTCATATAATTTTGGTGGTAAAATTTGCTACACTAGACATCGAAAATGGTTGCCACTTGATCATCCTTATCGTTCCCAAGCCCATTTATTTGATGGGACAGTGGAATACGATGTTTCTCCAGTTCCTACAAGGGGGAAAGACATTTTGAAAGAACAAGAAAGGATTATATATGTCTTTGGAAAGTAAAAAAACAACCCTCCAAGAAAAGAGAGAGAAAGAAAAGTGGGACATCCACTAATGAATTTGATGATGACCATGATGAGAAAGATTATAATAATCTTCTTTGGAAAAAGAAAAGTACGTGTTTTGACTTGGAATATTGGAAACACAATATTTTAAGACATAATTTAGATGTTATGCACATTGAAAAAAACGTTTGTGACAATTTGTTAGGAACTTTTTTAGATATGGACAAGATTAGAGATGATGAGAGTGCAAGAGAAGCCCTTAAAAAGTTGAACGTAAAATCTCATCTTTGGATTGAATCAAGTCGAGGAAATTATATGCCTCCCGCTTCATACACCATGTCTACAGAAGAAAAAGAACGGTTTTTACAAGTCTTACAAAAGCTTAGAGTTCCGGATGGATATGGATCTAATTTGCAAAGATGTGTGAACATGAAGCAGCGTAAACTTATCAATATGAAAAGCCATGACAATCATATCCTAATGCAAGACATCCTTCCGGTTGCTTTAAGAGCATCGAATGCCACAAAGGTTATTGACTTGATTGAGGAGTTGTCTTGCTTTTTTTAAGAAGATATGTTCAACTTCTATTGATACCAAAGAGTTAGATGACATTCAATCTAAGCTTGTTTTGACTTTTCCTAAGATGAAACAAGAATTTCTACCAACATTTTTCACAATCATGGTTCATCTATTGATTCATTTAGTGGATGAGGTCAGACTTAGAGGACCAGTTCATTACAGATGGATGTATCCGGTTGAAAGGTTAATATCTTAACTTTAATTTATGTCAAACTTTCCATACATACATATATATATATATATATATAGTTTAATGTATATGTATATGTATATATATATATATATATATATATATATATATATATATATATATATTCACATTCTTTCTTTATTATATTACAAGGTACTTGGCATTTTTGAAATCTCATGTAAGCAATAAGGCTCAACCTAAAGGGTCTATTGCGGAAGGGTTTCTTTTATGGAGACAATTACTTTTTGTTCCAGATACTTAGAAAGTGTTGAGATCATATTTAACAGACCGAAAAGAAATGAAGATGGTGTGGTAAACAAAATCTATTTATATTATTCGGGCTATCGTGTAGTTAAAAAGCAAGAAAATTTTCGTCTTGATGAAAAAAGTCTAAAACAAGCTCATCGCTATGTTTTGCTTCATTCAAATGAGATGAAACCAATTCTTGAGTAAGTAGTGCAATAAGTTAATAACAAATTGATTACTTACTATTATTTTTATGGTTAACATAACTTTTTTATGTCTAAAGTGATTTCATATGCCAAAAAAAGCAAGAGAATCAATTCCAAGTGAACGAAACCATTGAATATGAGTGAATAATCAATGAATTTGCCGAGTTGTTACAAAATCAGGTTACAATCTATCAAAGTTATTTTATTTTTTTACTTTTTTTAAACATAGAATGTCAAACACATGTCTAATATTAGCTTTTTTTTTTAATTTTATTTACATAGATCCACAACATAGATGATAGTACACTAGAAGGAACGTTGAGAAAAGCCTTGCCCGGTGGTTTAAGTAATCAGTGTAAAAGGATAAAAAGTGTTATCATCAATGGTTATAAATTTGACATTTTGGATCGTGAGCGATATCGAAAGACACAAAATTCTGGCGTTATGTTAGAGGCAGAAGGCCAAGAGTATTATGGAAGACTTAAAGCAATTTTTGAATTAGATTATTATGGCTCCCACAAGGTTATAATGTTTTGTTGTGATTGGGTTGATATAACAAGGGGTTTGAAAAGATATCGTAATGGGAATGTTTGTGTGAATTTCTCGAAGTTGACGCACACTGGTCGAAATTTGCATGATGATCCATTTATTTTCTCATCTCAAGCAAAACAAGTTTTTTATATCGAGGATGAGATAAATAAAGGATGGTTACATGTTGTTAAGACTAAGCCAAGGGACTTGTTTGATATGGGCGATGATGAGACTTAGTTTTTTTTTTCCTTTAATTGTTTAATGCATTATTTTTTTTTTCCTGTTTCAAAACATTTTGTTAATGTTGAAAGTATGAATAATATATATTTTCTTCTTTAATCTATATCGGTTTTGATTATTTTTCTACTTGAGCAAAGATTATTTGTTTTTATTGTATTAACATACTTCTCTACCAGACATGTACCTTATCCATTTTTTTTAAAAAAATTTATTTCATTGATTGGCAGGTGCAAGGCGTGTTACATACAGATCAGAATAACACTGGTTTCGGTTGATTGCGTGGTCAGAGGTATCCATCTTGCATAAATTAGTCATTTCTAAAAAAAAGATAATTGCTTATAGTATAAGACTATTTTGTGATATTGAAATTAACTTTGTTGAACTTTATGTGTCTGATGAGAGATGAATTGTTTTGGTCCTTTTTCCCCTTTCAAAAATTGCTTTGAGTCTTCCATAATACCTACAATGCCTTCTCTTACAATTGCTCTGGTCCTTTTTTCCCCTTTCAAGTTCATCAATATGAGTTATCGTAGCAAACGAACAAGGGCAGCAACTGCATCTGATGCTGTACTATATAAGGTTCCAAAATTTGTATCATCACAATCATCACAACCACTAAAAAATCAGCCTAAACCTACAATGCCTTCTACCTTAGTCCAAAATTCACGGGGAGCTAATGGTAGATGGGGACCATTTAACCCTCCAAACATCATCAACACCCAAGATCTCCCTTCATCTTCTACTACTAACACAAGTGCACAACCTCCACCCCAAAAAAACAATTGTATATGGGAGAAACCAATCAATGCACCAACTCCTTCAAGCATCACTAACACTCAAGATCTCCCTTCATCTTATACTACTACACAACCTCTTCCCCAAAAAAGAAATCAAATTCGGAAGAAGCAACATAATGTACCAAATTCTTCTAGCATCACTAACACACAAGACCTCCTTTCATCTTCTACTACCAACACAAGTGCACACCCTCCACCTCAAAAAAGCAATCCAAATCTGGATAAGGCACTTAATGCAACTTTCCATCCAAGCATAACTAACACTCATGGATTCCCTTCATCTTCTAAACAAAACACCTATGATATTCCCCCTAAATTTCCACCTTCGAAGCTATCCAAACCACCTACATTCCCTTAAACCTCATATACCTCTAATTAACCATGGGAAGAAGAAATGCAAGCTGGTCCTACAAAAAATTCACCCACAGTAAATAAGGATAAAGAAAAGCATGCATGTGATGAAACAACAAAGGAGAAATCCAAAATATTCAAGCTTCGATGTCGCGCATTGCTTCCCGAATGGCTTAGTACAATTGATTATGATGACAAGGAGGAGGTTCTAACCATTGGTATATTTATTTATTTATATTGATATGTTTGTGTACTGATCACGAAATAAATTAGTAAAATTCAAATAAAATAAGGACAGCAAAATGACAATAGCCTTAATTATTATTTAACAACACAATGCTTCTGTTTTTTAGATTATATATGAACTCAGTTATGAATCTAACCATGAAATCATTGAGTTTAGTGAATCTATGAAGTTAAAACTAGTCTGAAATCTATTAAGTTTAAACCTGGTCTGAAATTTAAGTTAAAATATAGTGTATTCAGTTTTTTAAATAAGATAATTAATGTTCTTTTGTTGTCTATAATATGTTTAAGTGTTTGATTTTCTTTTTCCACAGATGTTGAGCAATTAGTTAGTGGTCACATTCTGCTAATTGAGGTCTGGAATAACAATGGAGTTAAATATGTTGGGAACTTTAATGAGTTATGTCAACCGATTCGGAAAGGTGGGCATATATTGGTCCAATTCCTTGGTAGCATTGCAAAGGAGGAGAATTATTGCCCACTTTCAGAAAAGACTTGGCATGAGTTAGACCAGTATTTTAAGGGAGACATCATTAAATTAATAAGGGTATGTATACCTTCCATCTTTATATTACTAAAATTTTTGTTCATATTAATAGTTATTTATGGAATTATATATTTTTGTAAAGGATCGCTTTGTGATCCCCAATGAGGAGAAGTATTACACCCAAGCTCTACAGCGTGTTGATGAAGTTTGGAGGGGTTATAAACATGATCTTAAGAAGCGGTACTTCAAACCAGCTGAAAAATCAATAAGAGAAATTTGTGATAATCCCGCAAATGGAGTAAGAAAGAATAATTGGGTCAATTTGGTCAAGTACTGGAACTCTGAGAAAGGGAAAGTAAGTTTCAAACAATAGAGCAATCGTAAATAAATCATATTTTTTGGTTCATATATTTTCTATGTTAAATATTAAAGGTTTCATGAATTGTTGTAGGAATTGTCTAAGATCGGAAAAGAAGCACGAGCATCTCTAATCCAAATTCATTATTTTGGTGGTACAAGTTTTGCAAATAGACGTGCTGATTATGTATGATTTATTTTACCCTTTAATTGCCAATATAATGTATATTGATGCATAAATTGTGGTTGGAGTTTTCAGCAAAAATATATAACATATGTAATTATATTTCTCTATGCATTATAACTAATAGGAAGATGAGCACGGAGAAGAAATGAGCCTATATGAACTTTGGCATTCATGTTATAGAAGGAAGGATGGGACGTTTTTTTGAAGGCACGGATCAGAAGAGTTTTTGGTATTAATTCTTCCTGTTTGTTTAGCTTCTAGTTTTAGTTCATTTTACTAGCATCATGTATTTTTTGAATTTGTTTTGTAAGAAGATGTTAAGGCTAAGGCTGAAAGCTTAAAGCTAGTAGATCCTTCTGGTTCTAAGTCGCGTATAGACATAGAGAATGAGGCTTTTGAGGCTACACTATATGCTGGCCAAATTCCATAAAAACCACTAGCCTATGGATTTAGAGTTCGAAAAGGAGACATTCATGGTGTGCGTGGTGTACTTAGAAAAGAAGGGATTGGGAAAAGAACAAGAGTGGTAGAAATGGACAACATGACAGTGGAGGTATCAAGTTTGAAGGAAGAAAATAAGGAACTTCATAAGCAAAATGAAGAGATAAAAGAAAAGTGTGATGAGAATACAAAGCTACTCAAGACAATGACAACACTATTTTCACAGGTTTTAGAATCGTTTCGTAGTGGAGAAGGTTCGTCACAAGTTTTAGATGCTGCACAACTAGCCTTACGTATGGCTAACCCTCGGGTAATATAGTGAATTCATTCCTCCCTTCCTTGTTCATATGACTTTAGCTATCAAAGTTTATTGTTTTTACTTTGGTGTTGTGAATTCGTTGCCACAAATTCACTATCATTTTCTTGTTGTTAGTGTTGTACTTATTTCAATTGGTTAGGCACTTAATAAAATAAAGCAAAGAGAAGTAGTATATCCTTGGGACAGTGAGTAGGAGGTGAATAGGTGAGGCATTTTCTGTAATGCAGATCATTAGGTTAGATCATCAGGGAGCAGGGGGTAGAATAGACGAGGCAGTTGAGCTCATAAATGTGATTTGGGGCTTCCTAATTGGAAGATAAATATGATAATCATATCACTACATTATAGTTGGTTAATTCTAAACATTGAGATCTGAAAATAGTTTGGTATAAATGCATTGAACAGAAAACAAAAAACAAGAAGCTGAGAATAGTTGGTCACATGACTCTTGTTATTATCCCAGTTTGTGTCTAGAATTTGTATGCTTCAGTAGGGTTTGGGGGTTGGGTTATACTGCTAGATGGCTTCCACCACTTGTCGGAGCTATTTAAGTGATTATAGATGCAGGCTTTAGTACTTAATAAAATAAAGCAGGGAGTGGTAGTATATGCTTGGGACAGTGAGTAAGAGGTGGAATAGGTAAGGCATTTTCTATAATGTAAATCATCAGGTTAGATCATCAGGGAGCAGGGGGCGTAGAGTAGACGAGGCAGTTGAGCTTATAAATGTGATTTGGGGCTTCCTAATTATAAGATAAATATGATAATCATATCACTACATTATAGTTGGTTAATTCTAAACATTGAGATCTGAAAATAGTTTGGTATAAATGCATTGAACAGAAACAAAAAACAAGAAGCTGAGAATAGTTGGTCACATGACTTGTTATTATCCCAGTTTGTGCCTAGAATTTGTATGCTTCAATAGGGTTTGGGGGTTGGGTTCCACTGCTAGATGGCTTCCACCGCTTGTAGGAGCTATGAAAGTGATTGTAGATGCGGGCTTTATTGGGGAGTTGCGTTGTAGTTTGGTAACTATTGTGAGGGACGAGGAAGGGGTTTTCAAGGCAGCAGGGGTGTAGTAGAGTATTGCTAATTGGGAGGTAAGGGTGGCAGAAGCAAAAGTTGTGATGTGTAGGCTTTGGCTTGCTGCACACCTGAGGGTGCGAGAGGTAATCATTGAGAGTTATTGTTTTGTAAATAATTTGAGAGCGGTTGTTTTGAGAGTGACTATTTTGCTACAAACCTGGGGAAACTGTCTTAATTATTTTTGCAAAACCAAAGTAATCAGGTTTGATATATCCTAGTAGTTGGTTCTAGGAATTTATTTCAAGTAATATCTGATTCATAACTATACAATGTTTGCAAACATATTATTAGATAAGCTATGAATCAAAGTAATCAGGTTTGATATATCCTAGTAGTTGGTTCTAGGAATTTATCCTAGTAGGCGGAAGATATGAATCAAGGGATGCTTAACTCTTTTAACCATTGACTCAGATTAAGAAACTTGTAATTATTACATTAATTGGCTAGATTTGAATGGTTTTGGAGTTGACTATTTAGATTTAATAAGTTGTAGATTGTATATTTTAGCTTTAAGGTTGTCTTTTGGATATTGATATTAGCTAAGAATAATTATAATATGTAGTAGTTCAAACATATTATTAGATAAGCTTTATGGTACGGTGTATTATTTAAGACTATATATTTTAGACGTACTATTGTTATTATATTACCTAGCTAGCTAGCCTCTTAATATGTGTATTATTTGTTTCAAATTGCAAATTCAGATTGGTATTTCTACATATATGTCGTAATGTATTGAAACATTCCACTGTCCTAATATAATGTTTAAGAAAAGTGGAAAACTTAAATTCTCGACGCTTTTAAACGTCCACCTAATATCCCGCCAAAACATGCTATGAGCCGCAAAAATGAAAATGCCTACATTAACTTGCGTCGACAAACAAATACTTCGGCAGGTTAATGTATCCGCATATATCCGCATAAGCAGTCGACGTATAAGAAGTCGGACCATAAGAAGCCGGATCCAACGGAAATCTAAGGCCCGCCTGTATTGTGGCCGAAGCATGAATCTCCATAGCTCTGGTCAAGTGGTCAGACAAATGCGTCGTCAAGGGCAGGAACGTTTATTTGGTAGCTGACACCCATGACATAGGTGTCCTGGAAATCCCCCAAGTTTTTTCGCATGGTTCTTTGGGTAGATGCGGATATATGGGTAAAGTAGGGATTTGTTTGTCGACAAACAAATACTTCCTCCAATAAGCAGTCAGACCATAAGAAGTCCGACCGTCAGAAAGAGAGTCGGCCTGCTCAGCCGGCCTCCTAAGCCAGAAGAGAGCAAAAAGAAAAAACAAGTCTGGGCCATTGATAACTCTGATCAACCGGCCCAGAAGAAGAAAAAAGAGTGGAAACCGTATGTCCCAAGGTACGAGTTCCACAAGGACTGCTGCTCCATCCTATTGGAAATTAAGGATCGGCTGACTCTTGAGAAGCCGACTCCTATGAAAGGTTCCGCTGAAAATCGGAACAAGAACAAGCATTGCCATTTCCATGAGGATTTCGGCCATGACACGAACGACTGTTTCAGTCTCAAGCGGGAGCTCGACTGTCTGGCCGACAAAGGATAGCTGAAGTCCTATGTGAAGTCCAAAGTGACTTCAAAGGCAAATCAAGGGCAGTCCAAGAAAAAGACTTCCCAGCCTGCTGTGAGTGCCGAAACTGATAAAGAACCGGTATACACCATAGCAGGCGGCTTTGCCGGTGGTGGCCCGACCATTCGGGGCACCAAGGACCATCTAAGGAAGATGGTCAACTCTGTTGAGGAAGGGGATGCGGCAGGCACATCCGCCTTCCCTAAAGTTGTCATCACCGAACAGGACAGAGGCAAAGGCCGTCGGCCGCATGATGATCCCGTCGTCATTGAATGCAAGGTCGCCAACCAGCTGGTTGGCCGAATTCTGATTGACACGGGAAGCTCCTCTGACCTCATCAGCCTCAAATGCTTATCCAATCTCAAGTACAAACCGGATAGCATGATGGAGGTCTCCCACATCCTTGTTGGGTTTGGGGGAGGACTTGTGCACCCAGTCGGACGCATTGACTTACCTGTCCGCCTGGAAAGCAGGGGAGACGGTCGGCACATGACCATCCGTTTCCTAGTGGTTGAAGAGCTCACAGCTTACAACCTCATCTTTGGCTGTCCCACTCTTAATGAGTGCAAGGCCGTCATCATCCCTACACTCATGCTACTCAAGTATGAGAAGGATGATGGAACAGTCAGTTCCCTTAATGGGGACCAAAAGACGGCTCGAGAGTGTTACCTCTCGGACGTCAAGCCCGCGGCCGTAGCATCCGGTCGGGGCAAGCAAACGATCGACCTCGACGATGTCGAGGAAGAACAGTCGACCCCACCAGCCGAAAAGAAAAGAAAGACTGATCAGCTGGTGGTGGTCAAAAAAGAAAAATAATAGCAATCACTGACCGGGGAACGATCGGATGATCTCCGTCCCCAGCCTGCTGGTGAGCACATCGATATCCCTCTGGACGACAGCCGTCCAGAGCGGACGGTTAAGGTGGGGACGGTTGCACTTGCAGAGCTGGGTAAAAGCCTTCATCAGCTGCTGAGAGAATTCAAAGACATCTTTGCCTTTGAAGTGAAGGAGATGCCAAGCATCAGCCCGGATCTTGCTGTCCACAAACTCGCCGTGGATCCTAAAAAGAAGCCCATCCGGCAAAAGAAAAGAAACCACGGCGAAGAAAGAAGTCAGGCGGCTGCTGCCGAAGTAAAAAAGCTGCTGGATGCCAAGTTCATTCGTCCGTGCAATTTTCCTGAGTGGGTAGCTAACGTTGTGTTAGTAAAAAAGCCGAATGGAACTTGGCGGATGTGTGTTGACTACACAGACCTCAACAAGGCATGTCCAAAGGATAGTTATCCATTGCCCAAGATCGACAGTTTGGTCGACTCAACAGCCGGACATGCCTTGATGAGTTTTATGGACGCCAATTTAGGTTTCCATCAGATCCCCATGTGGAAAAAAGATTAAGAAAAGACGGCATTCTTCACTGATTAGGGGTTGTTCTGTTATACGGTGATGCCGTTTGGTTGGAAGAATGCGCCTGCTACTTTCCAACGAATTATTAATACGGTCTTCATTAATCAAATCAGAAGGAATGTAGAGGCGTACATTGATGACATGATAGTCAAATCCAAACAAAAGGCGGATCATCTGGCTGATCTCCGAGAAACATTCTCCACACTCAGGCGGCACAAGGTCATGCTGGACCCAAAAAAGTGTGTCTTTGGTGTTGAGTCTGGGGAGTTTCTCGGATTTTTGATTGACAAAAGGGGAATAGAGGCCAACCCTGAGAAAATACAGGCGGTAATCGACATGCAGTCGCCCCGTACTGTGAAGGAAGTGCAAAAGCTAATAGGTTTCCTGGCGGCCTTGGGGAGATTCCTCAGTCGGTCAGGCGACAAGTGTCTCTACTTCTTCCAGGCAATCAAAAAGAAGACCAACTTTGAACGGGGGGATGATGCAGAGGCGGCCTTTCAAAGACTGAAAACTCATTTACACTCTTTGTCGAGGCTTGTCAGCCCTTTGCCCAAAGAGAAGCTCTTCATGTATTTAGCCGTCTCTGACCATGCCCTAAGTGCCGTTCTCTTAGCTGAAAGAAACGACACCCAGCTCCCGGTGTATTTCATTAGCCATGTTCTGAGAAACGCAGAGCTTCAGTACCCCATGGTTGAGAAATTCGGCCTTGCCCTATACATGGCCATCAAGAAGCTAAAACCCTACTTCTTGGCGCATGCGGTAGAAGTCTATACTGACCAACCGATCAAACGGTCACTCACAACCTTGGAGTCTTCTAGACGAATGCTTAAATGGGCTATTGAAATGCAAGGATTAGAAATCACTTACGAACCAAGGAAGGCAATAAAGGGGCAAGCATTCGCCGACTTTATTGTCGAAATGACAAGGCCGGTTGTACCGGACAATACAGACCAGGTTTGGAAAGTGTATGTGGATGGGAGCTCCACTGTGAACGGCCGTGGTGCAGGGATTATCTGTCAATCTCCTGAAGGAGATAAGTACGAATACGCACTACGGTTCAAGTTCCAGGTCTCTAACAATGAGGCCGAGTATGAGGCCCTGCTGGCCGGCATTCGGTACTGCAAGGCGGCAGGGGCAAGGAAGATAGCCGCCTGCTCTGATTCTCAATTAGTCGTACTCCAGGTTAATGGGACGTACGTGGCCACTCATCCGGCCATGATAAAATATTTGCAGGCGGTCAAAAGTGAAATTGGTACACTTGAGGAGTTTCAGTTAACTCAGGTGCCCAGGTCGTCAAATAATCAGGCGGATGCTCTATCAAAACTAGCATCATCCGCCTCTTGTGAAACGCCTCGGTCGGTCTTCTAGGAGGTCATGGAAAAAGAAGTGTATCTAATGAAGACCCCATTGGAATTCTCAACCGAAGCTCTACCTGGATGGACATCATCCGGGCTTATCTTGCAGACGGCACGCTCCTTGATTCACCTCAGGAGGCGGCTGTTCTAAAAAAGAAAGCGGCAAACTTCGAGCTGAGACAAGGAGAACTTTTCAAAGCTGGTTTCTTGAAACCCCTATTGAAGTGTGTTACCCCAGAAAAGGGTAGAGAGGTCCTCGAAGATTTGCATGCGGGTTTCTGCGCCTCCCACATAGGCGGCAGGTCTTTAGTTGCCAAGGCCAGGCGGCTCTATTTCTGGCCAACTCTGGAGTCGGACGCTATGGAAATGGTAAAAAAATGTGACAAGTGTCAAAAGTTTGGCAAGCTCATCCATCGTCCGGCCACGGACCTGACGGCCATCCACAGCCCAATTCCCTTTGCCAAATGGGGCATGGACATACTTGGGCCTTACACCATGGCCCCAGGCGGCAAGCGCTACATATTGGTAGCTGTGGATTACTTTACCAAGTGGGTAGAGGCAGAGGCGGTCAAAAACATCAAGACAAAAGATGTCATTTCCTTCCTCTGGTAGTTGTGGATTACTTTACCAAGTGGGTAGAGGCAGAGGCGGTCAAAAACAGCAAGACAAAAGATGTCATTTCCTTCATCTGGAGGAATATTATCACTCGTTTCGGGGTGCCCATGTCTATGGTTTTTGACAATGGTCCTCAATTTGAGACGCCTCAACTCAAGACTTGGCTAGGAGAGCAAGGGGTCTCAAGCCTCTTTGTATCAGTCGGCCGCCCTCAAGCAAACGGCAGGTTGAAGCCTTCAATAAGCTAATCTCAGACGGGATTAAAAAGAAAATTGAACGGGCTGGTGGCCTTTGGGCCGATGAACT